TCTACATTTAGTTTAATGTTGGCTATAGTTTTGCTGTAAATTTTCTTTATTATGTGTATGTATGTACCTCGTATCCCTAAACTGCAAGACTTTTATAATGTTTGATTTTGTCAAAGACATCTTGTACATGTAATGGGATGACACTGTGTTCTATTTTTTTTCAATTTATTTTTATGGTGGATTGCATTTACTGTTTTTTTTTTTAATTTATTTATTTATTAAGGATTTCTGCCTCGTCCCCACAACCACTTCCCATTTCCCTCCCCCTCCCCCGATCAAGTCCCCCCCCCCCCCCCTCATCTGCTCGAAGAGCAATCAGGGTTCCCTGACCTGTGGGAAGCCCAAGGACTGCCCACCTCTATCCAGGTCTCGTAAGGTGAGCATTCAAACTGCCTAGGCTTTTTTTTTTTATGTTGAACCTTCACTGCCTGTTGTGAAAGGGGCGAACGGGCTGCTTTTCATCCCGCCCGGCTCCCGGCCGCCCAGCTAGCTTTATCCAAAATAATTACACGGAAACTGTATTCATTTGAACTGTCTGGCCCATTAGTTTTAGCCTCTTATTGGCTAACTCTCACATATTGATTTAACCCATTTCCATTAATGTGTATCGCCACTTGACTGTGTCTTACTGGCATGAGTCTAACCAGCATCCATCTTGGGCAGGAGAAGCATGGCGTATGCCACACTGTCATCTTTCCAGCATTCTGTTCCGTCTACTCTGCCCACCTAAGGGGTGCCCTATCAAAAGGCCGATGCCATCTCTTTATTTAACCAATAAAAGTAACACATAGACAAAACACCCTTCTATACCAACTGCCTATCTGGGATGTAGCCTAACTGATGAGTTTACATGAGTTTTTGATGTTCTTGGAATCCCTTGGCAAGTATTTGAATATTTGTGAATTTATATTCAAGAGGGAAATTGGTCTGTAACTCTCTTTATAACATTTGTCACAACACTGGATCTCTGTACTAAATTAGTTTAATGATCTCAAAGTCCGGAAGCAGAGGGACTAGAGGCAATGAATACTTGAAATTGGAATTCTCAGAGTCTGTCTACCTGGTGCAATCTCTATATTGTTAAGGGCAATTCCAGAAACCTTTGTTTCCACTGTCTCCTGTCTCAGGTTTAACATATATAATAGCATCTGATATGAATCATCTTTGATTATTTAAATACAAAAGCCTGAATTTATGGATATTCTGTGGCATCATAAGATGAATTTCCTGATGTTTGATTATTTCCTATGTTTTCACATGTGTAATTAGCTTCCTTGGGTTGGACTTCTTGTTTTTAATAGCTTCTGTAGAACTGGATTTATGTATGGATATTGTTTAATTTTTTTTTTGTTTTGTTTTTCGAGACAGGGTTTCTCTGTGGTTTTGGAGCCTGTCCTGGAACTAGCTCTTGTAGACCAGGCTGGTCTCGAACTCACAGAGATCCGCCTGCCTCTGCCTCCCTAGTGCTGGGATTAAAGGCGTGCGCCACCACGGTTTAATTTTTACTTTATCATTAAATATCATATTTTTCCACTTATGGGAATTGAAAATTTTCTGGGTATAGTAATCTGTGCTGACATCCGTGGTTTCTTAGAACCTACATCCCATGAGTCCAAGCCCTGATGGCTTTTAGAATCTCTACTGAGAAGTCAAATGTAATTCTCATAGGTGTGCTATTGTATGTTTCTTGATTTTTTTTTTTACTTTGCAGCTTTTAATATTCTTTTGTTAAAGAAAAGGAAGACCATTAGAAGCATTTACAAACCATTTTGTTTTCTATGACTATTGATATCAGAAATAATGATGATTAATTCCTGTTATGTTGTTTATTTTTTGTCATGGTTAGGGTTTTGATTATTATGTGGTAAAGGGAATTTTTCTTTTTAATGTTTAATTGATCTAAATATTTCCTCCATTCCTCTCCCTTCCTCCTCCTTCCTTTTCTATCTTCTTCTATGATTCCCATGCTCCCATTTTACCTAAACATAATAAAGGCTTTATACAGCAAGTCAACAGCCTACAAAAAGCTGAATGGAGAGAAACTCAAAGCTTTCTCACGGAAATCAGGAACAAGACAAGGTTGTTCACTCTCTCCATATCTATTCAATATAGTACTTGAGATTCTTAGCTAGAGCAATAAGACAACAAAAGGAAATCAAAGGGATACAAATTGGAAAAGAAGTCAAACTCTCACTGTTTGCTGATGATATGATAGTTTACATAATTGACACCAAAAATTCTACAAAGGAACTTCTACAACTCATAAAAACCTTCAGTAATGTACTAGTATACAAGATTAAGTAAAAAAAAAAAGAAAGAAAGAAAACAATAGTAGCCCTCCTTTATACAAGTGATAAATGGGCTGAGAAAGAAATTAGAGAAATGCCAACCTTCACAAAAGCCACAAATAATAAATAATGTCTTAGAGTAATTCTAACCAAAGAAGGGAAGTCCTGTATGACAAGAACTTTAAATCTTTGAAGAAAGAAATTGAAGAAGACACCAGAATGTAAAGATCTCTCATGATCTTTGGTAGGTAGAACTAACATAGGAAAAATGACAATCTTTTCAAAAGCAATCTACACATTCAATGCACCTCCCATCAAAGTCCCAACACAATTTTTCACAGACCTCAAAAGAACGGTACTCAACTTCATATAGAAAAACAAAACGCCTGGGTAGCACAAACAATCATCTACAATAAAGAAACTTCTGGTGGCATCACAATCCCCAGCTTCAAACTTTACTGCAGAGCTACAGTACTGAAAACAGGCTGGTATTTAATAATTACTGCTGACATATCTGGATATCAAATGTAGAAGAATCAAAATAAATCCATATTTATCGCTACACACAAAACTCAAGTCCAAATGGATCAAAGACCTCAACATGAAACTAACCACACTGAACCTAATAGAAGAGAAAGCAGAAACTACAATTGAACGCATTGGGACAGGAGACCACTTCCTAAATATAATGTCAGTAGCAGAGACACTGATAGAAATAATTAATAAATGGGACCTGTTAAAACTGAGAAGCTTCTCTAAAGCAAAGATCTAGTTTCTTAGATAAAATATTAAATCTCTTGGATGGTTATTACTTATGATTCATTCAGGACTACAGTGGGAAAAAAGCAACACTTGGGTCATAAATAAATAATGTCTCTGGGTTGTAGAGAAAAACAGGTAGTTCTAAGTGGCAGTCAAGGGCTGAAGAACGGCAGGAATTTTCAGGGAAATCATCACCATTATAGAGAAGACCACATCTACATTGATAACCTAGCCAGCTGCCAAAATGTAAGAATTTATTTTTCTGTGCCCTCAGTTAATGGAAGAATTAGGTAAAGTAATTCCTAGTCTCCAGGTGCAACTTCATAGGAAGCCTGCTGCAACTTTGGTCTAAGCAAAGCAGGGTCTATCACAACTTAGAAGCCAAATTTGGGGGTATCATCGATGTTGTACTGGTTCTGAAAACAAAAAGGTGCAAAATTTAAGTCCATACATTCTTTCTTTCTTTTTTTCAGTTCAGCAATTTTGTAGGTGTTTGGTAGAGTCTGAGCTCCACTGAGGAGACTCTTAGAATTCATTGCAAGATGCTGTGAGAAAAATGCCTGGGTTGTATTTTGAGACCATAAGATGGTGAGATATTTAAGCTATGAAACATCTTATGGAGAACCATATATATGGAGTGGAAGTAAAGAAAGAGAAAAAGATATATGCAAAGTTGTGGGGATAGGGCCATCTTAGCCATTTGATGTGTCTAACACAGAGCTACTGGATTTGATGGTTTCATTCTTACCTTGGACTAATCTTTTCTTACCATGTCTCAATTCCTCTTTTTTGGAATATTCTCTGCCATTGTCTATTGAAAATATATAACTATTCTTGTTTTAAAAGATAACACAGTCTTGAGTGTCAAAAGAGACTTGGACATTTGAGCAGTGTAGTGGTTGCTGCAGTCTATGAGTATCGTTGTGACTAAATGCATTTTCTTCATTGATAGCCATGGTTGAACCTATAGTGACATGACTCTGAATCTAGTTGACTGAGTGACTAAATTTCTATCTCCTTGATGGCTTTCTTTTTGGAGTGCTTGTGGAACCATTTGTATGAGAATCCTTTCTGGATGAAACTCATTAGAAGTGGGATTTGCGTGTCTCTAGCCTCAATCCATTTTTTTGTTCTTTGTATCTAATATGTTGTGTTTGAAACTTATCAACTCGTTTCCTTCTTTTGCTGTCATGCCTTCAGCATTGTTATAAATTCTATCTGTAAATCATATAAGACACAGCAGAAACAATTTCTATTCCATGCTAAGCCATTTTGGTAGCATGATGATTTTATTTTTTGAATTTCTTTTGTGTAATAGTTGAAACTGATCAGTCAGCTTTTTGTGCTTTCATGACTTCATCACCATTATTAATGGTTTCACTAAATCACATAAGGTATAACAATTCAATGCTAAGCGATTTTACTAGCTTAATTATTTTATTTGTTTTTGTTTGTTTGTTTCTGAGACAAGGTTTGCGTAGTTTTGGCTGTCTTGAAGCTGTTTTGTAGACCAGGAGGTGGATTTTTAATATTTACTTCTTACTGTCCTTGAACTGATTGCATAGATTAGGATAGCATTCAACTCAGAGGCAGATATACCTGCCTCTGCCTTCTTAGTGCTGGAATTAAAGAAATAAGCCAATACACTGATCTTGCCCATCCTTTCTTGTAGTTAGTAATTGTTTATAAAATTTCTTTGTTGTGTACTCATTACTGTTGATGTGTTTGCTTGTCTTTCTTTGTCTGTTAGTAAGCGTTTTCCATGACAGGTAGTATCCTACTCAGGAATGATAGAGATAAATCTCCTACTTAATTTCCTTCTAAAGTCTCTTAATGATTGTATTATAATGCCTGCCATAGGATACATCTAGTAAGTACCAGAATTATATGATTATACATTTACAACGTTGTCAGTATTACCCATTTTTATACATTTATGGCATATTTTAGGATGCAGTAACCTATAGTGATGTGCATATTGACTTCAGTCTGGAAGAGTGGGCTCTGCTGGATCCTTCCCAGAAGAATCTCTACAAAGATGTGATGCTGGAGACCTATACGAACCTCACTGCTATAGGTAATACTGTGGAATTTCCTTCACATTTTAAATTAATGGAATAGCTGTGTTTTGCTTACTAATGCTCTTCAGTATTTGTGATTGAGAAGGACGAAGAATAAGATGAATAAATCAGGCATAGTTCTAAGTTCCACTGAAGATAGTAACCTATGTTCAATTTTCAATAACATATAATACATTTCTTGCTACTGTCTTTTAGGCTGCAGGTGGGAAGATCATAATATTGAAGATTATTGTCAAAGTTCTCGAAGATATGGAAGGTAATTTTTATTTGAAAGCTGATACAATGTGCCTCTGAAGATATTTTAATATATCTGGAGGTTTTAAAGAAAAGCAGCAGTGTAAATAAGGACAGCTTAAAGTGTATTAATGATTATTAAATCCTCACAAAATCATGTCTCAATGGCAAGTAAGTGAACTGTGTTTTCTTGTAATTGTTAAAACAATTAAAAGGAGGACAAGGAAACAATGTCTTAACAGATCTTACTACTTGAATCATAGCTACATTAGAGCTATGCTGTAGAACTTCAAATCTGTTTAGTTTGAAACCACTCCTATTACAAAAGATAGACATATTAAATAGGTGATAAGTATATATCCAAAATCCTTAAATAAGCAATTAATCCCTAGTGAAACTAGGGTTACTCATATAGTTGTCATGACGGCTAAGTTCAGTGAGAGGTGTAGTTAGAGTTAAGAGTTAAGGGAGTTTGTTGTGGAGAAACCTTAATCAGTATACCATTTCTCTCTGAGTAACAGAGATTCAAGCTGTGTATATGTATTGTGGAAATCCTTTGTTTTGCTTTCTTTAACAGGTATATTCTATGTCAGTCTGGATAGAAACCATATGATCATAGGGATGTGGAAAGAAGTAACTTTTTTCATCTCAAAACAATTAGACGATATGTAGTAGTCCCCATGTTGAGTAGACTTGTTGAATATAATGCAAGTTTACAAGTAATTGCTTTTCCAACTTCTTTGGGAATGCATCAACAAACTCATAGTGCAGAAAAGTCCAATGAGTAATAGGAATGTGTATAAACTTCTCTTTGTCCTGTCAGACTTTACAAATGTAGTATGACTTACAATATTAAAAAAATTAACAGTTGAATAATTGGGGTAAAGGTCTGAATTCTTCCAGTACTGTTATAATAAGTGAAAAATCTCATAGAGAAAAAAGATGCCTTAAATGTGAACAAGGTAATAAAGGGTCTTTCCATCACAGGCATCTTCAAAGATGCAAAACAGTCTTTAATGAAGGAGAACAATATGAGTGCAAACAAGGGGTAAACCTCTTTATAGTTAGAACAAATTAATTAATTTGTAAAATTAATTCATACAGATATAAAGATTCAACATTGTAATGAATGTTGTAAAGATATTACATGTGCCAATTATCCTTGCAGGCATAAAAGAAGTCATTCAGAACAACCTTCTGAATATACTCAGTGGGTTAAAGCCTTTCCATATCACAGTTATCTTCAAAGATATGAAAGAATTCACAGTGGTCAGAAGCTCTATGAAGGTGTTCAATATGGTGATGCCTTTGAATGTCATAATAGTTTCCAAATACATAAAGGAAGCCATAGTGCAGCAAAACGCCATGAATGTGATCAGTGTGGTAAAGCCTTTTCACGATACAGTCGTCTTCAAATACATAAAAGAACACATACTGGAGAGAAACCCTATGAATGTACTCAATGTGGAAAAGCCTTTTCACAACACAGTAATCTTCAAATACATAAAAGAACACATACTGGCGAGAAACCCTTTGAATGTACTCAATGTGGTAAAGCCTTTTCACAACACAGTACTCTTCAAATGCATAAAAGAACACATACTGGAGAGAAACCCTATGAATGTACTCATTGTGGAAAAGCCTTTGCACGTCTTAATATTCTTCAAATGCATAAAAGAACACATACGGGAGAAAAACCTTTTGACTGTAATCAATGTGGCAAAGTATTTGCAGTACAAAGAAGTCTCCACATGCATAAACGAACACATACTGGAGAGAAACCCTATGAATGTACTCAATGTGGAAAAGCTTTTGCAGAACACAGTTATCTTCAAAGGCATAAAAGAATACATACTGGAGAGAAACCCTATGAATGTAATCAATGTGGAAAAGTCTTTGTATATCAAACTAGTCTCCGAATGCATAAACGAACACATACTGGAGAGAAACCCTATGAATGTAATCAATGTGGTAAAGCCTTTTCGCAACACAGATATCTTCAAATGCATAAAATAACACATACTGGAGAGAAATCTTATTTATGCACTCAATGTGGAAAAGCCTTTGTACATCAAAATTCTCTTCAGAGGCATGAAAAAACACATACTGGAGTGAAACCCTATGAATGTAATCAATGTGGTAAAGCCTTTGTTTGTCAAAATAGTTTCAGACTACATAAAAGAGCACATACTGGAGAGAAACCTTGGGAATGTTCTCAATGTGGTAAAGCTTTTGTATGCCAAAGTCGTCTTCAAAAACATAGAAGAACACATACTGGAGAGAAACCCTATGTATGTATTCGATGTGGAAAAGCCTTTGCACAACATGGTCATCTTCAAAGGCATGAAAGAATACATACTGAAGAGAAACTCTATGAATGTAATTATTGTAGAAAAGTTTTTTCACATCCCAGTGTGCTACATAGGCATAACAGAATACATACTGGAGGGAAACCCTATCATTGTTCTCAATGTGGAAAAGCCTTTGCACATCCTAGTGTTCTACAAAGACATAAAAGAACACATACTGGAGAGAAACCCTATAAGTGTGTTCAGTGTGGAAAAGCCTTTACAGAACATAGTTATCTTCAAAGGCATAAAAGAACACATACTGGAGAGAAACCCTATAAATGTACTCATTGTTCAAAAGGCTTTGCACGGCACTGTTATCTTCAGAGGCATGAAAGAACACATAATGGAGAGAAACCCTATGAATGTAATCAATGTGGTATAGCCTTTGTATCTCAAAGCAGTTTCCGAATACATAAAAGGGCACATACTGGAGAGAAACTCTTTGAGTGCCCTCAATTTGGAAATGCCTTTGTACACTGAATTCTCTTCATAGGTATGAATGATAACATACTATAGAGAAACCCTATAAATATACTCAATGTGGAAAGACTTTTGTATGTAAAATCAGTCTCTTGTGTACTAAAAGAACATATTCTGGAGAGAAAACATACACATGTAATATGATAAAGCCGTTACAAAATCATAAAAGATCATACTGCAAAGAAACCCTCTAAATGTAGTCAGTGTAACAAAGTTTTGCAAGTCATGGTAGTAGTATAAGAGTAAAACTTGTATAATTGGTCTGTTAAAGCCTTCGAACATATTAGACTTTGAGGATTGGAAAAAAACTCATACTGATTGGAATCTGTGTAAAGTATCTGGTAAGATTTATAGCCAACACACTTATGTTCAATTAAACAAGATTCTTTATTCTGCAAAAAAAAAAAAAATTGACAAGAGTCAACAGTCTCTTCAAGCATTATTATGGATCTCAGTTCAAGCCAGCCTGGTATCCAGGACAGCCAAAGATGTACAGCGAAACCCTGACTGGATAAACCAAATATTAAAAGTAAAACTAAAACAGAAAAAAAAGCTACATAATCACAGATAATCTGGATACTGTATAATATTGTGTTGTCTTTCAAGTGTTTGGCTGCCGAGGAAGGAGGAACAACAGCTTCTAAAAGACAATTATAAATGCTTTTGGATTAATCCAACCTATATATTTTCAAAATGTCTTGACATTGCAATTTAAGTCAAAAGATATGTTACTTCGGAGAAGAGGTTTTGTTTTTGTTTTCACAAAAAATGAGAGGCTGTGAATTTATTTTAGGCTAAGAAAAATAAGCTTTGATCAAGGAAGACCTCCCGAAAAAACATCTCAAGTGGAAATGGATGGCCGCAATGATCCAGTGTTGTAGAGCACCAGTTTTGCAGTTTCTCTGAGTTTTGCATACAGAACAGCCTCCAAATTGCTGGATGAAATGACCCAGCCTCACAGAATATTCCAGTTAATACTTTGACCATAATCCATAATTTTATTTTCTTTCTTCAATGTATAGAATGGGATGCCCATCACCTAAGTGAATCATTTTTATTTAAATAACAAGCAGTGTATGATCATGCTTTCCAAGTAAATATGTCTGTGAAAGGGTGGAGGATTGTTGTTCCTGGTTTTAATTTTCATGTTTTTAAACAAATTCCCTAAAATGTTGTTTGTTATTCGTTCTAGCATGGATGTCAGTAAATAGGTATGTATTTAAATTCATGATCCTCATGTGTCAGTTTCCTGAGTACAACTAGGAGTTAGATGATGTAATGTCACTGTTTGCTATTTTGTCGATACAACACATTTTAACAATATTAATATTATAATGGTTAATAGAAGAGAATATAAGAAACATTAAATTTCTCATGTGTTTATCCAAGGCAGCATTTTCATCTATCTGGTAGAGATGTAATGAGCTGGGATAATCAGCAATCTATAGTGTATCTCACAACATTGCTTGATGTTCTATTCATATACTATTTGAAGTTTCATGCATCTTGTTGTCCCCATCAGTTTTCCATTTGTAATGATATTGTTTTAAAGTGTGCGTGTGTGTGTGTGTGTGTGTAACATTATTATGGGTTTTTAGGCCATGAAACATATGTGAAGATTGGAAATTAACTTTGTGAAATCTACCTTGTTCCATTCATGTGGTGATCAAGATAAGCTTACACACCAGAGAAATTGCCCACTGTGTTCTCTGGCTGATGCTGAAATAAGATTAGTTGTCTTTTCAGAATGTAAACATATTTCCATCAAAAGATAGATGAAAATAGGAAAAATTGAATAATAAATTGCAAATGAAATTGTTACATTGCTATCTTTTTCTTTCTTTGTGGAATGTTTTAGTTCTTTCTGAGAGCTAAGCACTGTTTAAAAGAATTGATGACCTGAATTAAATCTCTGGGAGATCCATATTACTCCTAGAAATTTTTGTAATTTTTCTACACTTGGGCTGTAGCATATGCTGCCTCCCACAGAGGCACATATATAAATAATTTTTTAAATCAAATAAGTGCCACTGAGTTCACGTGTAGCCAAATGACTCCCTAAGTTTCACATTTAGAACTCACATAGTGAAAGTAGATAATAGACAACTCTAAATTTTCCTCTCACTACCACATACACATCATGATCAATGCATAGACACATAGAAGCATTTTTAAATGGATGAAATTGATAAAATAGCCCAATTATTGAGAATATATGAAATGATTTACCAGTTTAAGTTAAGAATTTCAAGAAGTTTTATTGTTCATTAGAATATTGATTGATTCTTTCTAAATCTTTATTTTATCATTTAACTCTCTAATTAAAATATAGGTTATTGTAAAACATCTCAGCTGGACTTAGAGTTGTATGCCTGCAATTCCAGCACTTGAGAGATAGATGCCACTCTCTCTTAGTTTGAGGACAGTTTAGTCTCCATAGTGAGTTCCAGGATAGCCAAGACTATTTAGAATTATTCTATCTCCAAAAAAATTCCAAAAGGAAAACTCACATCTCAAATTATGGAACTTTTCCTAATATAATCCAACTGTACTCTGACTGGTTACAAGAAAACCTTTTGTTATCTTTACTCATTAATAGAACTGTGTTAACTGAAAATAAGAAGACTATGGAGAGTCCATTAACAGATGTGTAGAAAGATATTGAATCCTGTCAGAAGCCATGTCATAAGAAGAGCAAATGGCAATTAATATTCAAGGTTTCAACTCAGCAGGAAGAAATTTTCTAATGAGAAGCCTTATTAAACAAGGCCAGAATGCTAGAGACTCCAGAATATCTTTTGCTTTTGTGTGTAATTTCACAGGTGGTATTGGTTTGGATCAGTTTGAATGAGTATGATCTGGTTTGGAACCAGTAAGAACCGGTTTGAACCGCGTTTGATCCGGTCTGAACCAGTTTAAACCAGTTTGATCCAGTTTGAGCCAGTCTAAACCAGTTTGCAACGGTCTAAATTTATTGGATTCATTTTGGGTGTCCTGTACCGATCTAATCCGGATTGAGTCGGTTTATTCCGCTTTGAACCAGTTTGATCCAGTTTTGAACCAGTCTACACTGGTATGATACAGTTTGAACAAGTTTGATCAAGTCTGATTCAGTTTGATCCAGTTTTGAACCCGTCTACACTGGTATGATACAGTTCGAATCACTTTGATACAGTCTGATTCAGTTTGATCACGTTTGAACAGGCCTAAGCTGGTTTGATCTGTTTTGAGACAGCCTGAACTGGTTTGAGCCGGTCTAAAGCGGTTTGATTCGGTCTAAAGCGGTTTGATTCGGTTTGAACCAGTCTAAACTGGTTTTATCTGAATTGAACCAGTTTGATATGATTTTGGATTGGTCTAAAGCGGTTTGATCAGTATGAACCAGTTTGATCTGGTTTGGAACCAGTCTAAACAGGTTTGAACCAGGTTTGATCTGGTCTGAACCACTTTAAAACAGTTTGAGCGGGTTTGAGCCAGTCTAAACCAGTTTTATCTGGATTGAACCGGTTTTGTCCGATTTTGGAATGTTCTAAACCGGTTAGATCCAGTATGAATCAGTTTGATCCGGTGTGTTCCACTTTGACCCGGTTTGGACTGGTCTAAACAGGTTTGATCTGGTTTGAGACTGTCTAAACAGTTTTATCTGGATTGAACCAGTTTCGTCCGAATTTGGACTGGTCTAAACTGGTTTAATCTGGTATGAACCAGTTTGATCTGTTCTGAACCAGTTTGATCATGTTTTGAACCAGTCTACACTGGTATGATCCAGTTTGAACCAGTTTGATCTGGTCTGATCCAGTTTGAACCGGTTTGATCCTGGCTAAGCTGGTTTGATCAATATTGACCCGGCCAAAACCGGTTTGAACCGGTCTAAACCGGTTTGATTCGGTTTGGCCTACCTGTAGCGATCTAATTCAGATTGTGCAGGTTTAATCTGGTTTGAACCAGTTTGTCCAGTTCTGAACCAGTCTACATTGGTTTGATCAAGTTTGATTCAGTTTTGAACCAGTCTACACTGGTATAATCCAGTTTGAACTAGTTTAATTTGGTCTGATCCAGTTTGATTCGGTTTGAAATAGGCTAAGCTGATTTAATCTGGTTTTAGCCGGCCTAAACCAATTTGAACTGGTCTAACCCGGTTTGATTCGGTTTGAACAAGTTTGATCTGGTTTGGAACGAGTCTAATCCGGTTTGAACTGGGTTTGATCCGGTCTTAACCAGTTGAAACCAGTTTGATCCAGTTTGAGCGGGTCTAAACCAGTTTTATCTGGATTGAACCAGCTTGATTCGATTTTGTACTGTTCAAAATCATTTTGATCCGATTTTGTACTTGTCTAAACCAGTTATTCTGGTTTGATCCACTTTGATCCGGTTTGATCCAGTTTAAACTGGTTTGATCTGGTTTGAACTGGTCTCAACAGGTTATATCCGGTTTGAGCCTGTCTAAACAGGTTTGAACCGGTCTAAACCTGTAGGATTCAGTTTGGCTGTCCTGTAGAGAACTAATCCGGATTGAGTCGGTTTAATCCACTTTGAACCAGTTTGATGCAGTTTTGAGCCATTGTACACTGGTATGTCCAGTTTGAACCAGTTTGATCCACTTTGATCCACTTTGAAATAGTCTAAACTGGTTTGATTCCAGTTTGAACTGGTCTCCACTGGTTAGATACGGTTTGAATGGGTCTAAACTGGTTTGAACGGGTCTAAACTGGTTTGAACGGGTCTAAACTGGTTTGATACGGATTGTCCAACCTGTAGCAATCTATTCCAGATTGTGCAGTTTTAATCTGCCTTGCACCAGTTTTATCCAGTTCTGAACCAGTCTACACTGGTTTGATCCAGTTTGATCCGGTGTGATATAATTTGAACCAGTTTTGAAACAGTCTACCATGGTATGATCCAGTTTGATCCGGTCTGATCCAGTTTGATCCGGTTTGAACCTGGCTAAGCTGGTTTGATCCGTTCTGAGCCGGCCTAAAGTGGTTTGAATCGCTTTGAACCAGTTTTATATGGTTTGGATCCATCTAAACCGGTTTGAACCAGGTTTGATCCGGCGAAAACCACTTTAAACAAGTCTGAGCTGGTCAAAACTGGTTTTATCTGGATTGAACCAGTTTGATCCAATTTTGGACTGGTCTAAACCTATTTAATTCAGTATGAACCAGTTTGATCTGGTCTCACCCAGTTTGACCCAGTTTTGAACCAGTCTACACTGGTTTGATCTGGTATGCACCTGTTTGATCTGGTTTCATCCTCTTTGATCCGGTTTGAACCCTTCTAAGCTGGTTTAATCCAGTTTGACAATGCCTAAACTGCTTGAACTGGTCTAAACTTGTTTGGTTCAGTTCGAACCAGTATGATCTAGTTTGCAAACAGTCTGAACGGGGTTGAACCAGGTTTGATCCAGTCTGAACCAGGTGAAACCAGTTTGATCCGGTTTAAGACAGTCTAAACCGGTTTGCACCGGTCTAAACTTGTTGGATTCGGTTTGGGCGTCCTGTAGCGATCTAATCCGGATTCAGCCGGTTTATTCTGCTTTGAACCAGTTCAATGCAGTTTTGAACCCAGTCTACATTGGTTTAAACCAGTTTGAGCCAGTCAGATACAATATGATCAACTTTTGAACCATTCTACACTGGTATAATCTAGTTTGATCCGGTCTGATTCAGTTTGATCCGGTTTGAACTAGTCTCAACTGGTTTGATCCAGATTGAACCAGTTTGATCCGGTCTGATTCAGTTTGATCCGGTTTGAACTAGTCTCAACTGGTTTGATCCAGATTGAACCAGTTTGATCCGGTCTGATTTAGTTTGAACCAGTTTTGAAAAAATCTACACTGGTATGAACCATTTTGAACCAGTTTGATCTGGTCTGATCCAGTTTGATCCAGTTTGAACAGGGCTAAGCTGTTTTGATCCCTTTGGAGCCAGCCTCAACTGGTTTGAGCCTGTCTAAAGCGGTTTGATTTGGTTTGAATCAGATTGATCTGGTTTGGAAGCAGTTTAAACCGGTTTGATCCGGTGTGAGCCGGTTTAATCCAATTTTAACTGAATTGAAACAGACTCGTCTAAACCAGTTTGATCAGTATGAACCCCTTTGATCTGGTTTGAACTGGTCTAATCCGGTTTGATTCAGTTCCAACCAGTTTGTTCTGGTTTGTAACCAGTCTAAACTGGTTTGAAACGGGTTTCTTTCAGTCTGAACCACTTTAAACCAGTTTGAGCCAGTTTGAGGCTGTCTAAACTGGTTTTATCTGGATTGAACCAGTTTTGTCTGATTTTGGACTACTCTAAACAGGTTTGATCCAGCATGAATCATTTTGATCCAGTGTGATCCACATTGATCCTGTTTGAACCGGTCTAAACTGGTTTGATCTGTTTTGAGCCGGCCAAAACCGGTTTGAACCGGTCTAAACCAGTTTCATTAGGTTTGGCCGACCTGTAGGGATCTAATCCAGATTATGCAGGTTCAATCCGCTTTGAACCAGTTTGATCCAGTTCTGAACCAATCTACACTGGTTTGATCTGGTGTGATCCATTTTGAAACAGTTTTGAACCAGTCTACACAAGTATGATCTAGTTTGACCGGTCTGATCCAGTTTGATACGGTTTGAACCGGGCTAAGTTGGATTGATCCATTTTGAGCTGGCCTAAACCAGTGTGAACCGCTCTAAACCTGTTGGATTCGGTTTGGCCGACCTGTAGCGATCTAATCTGGATTGATGCGGTTTAATCTGCTTTGAACCAGTTTGATCCAGTTTTGAAACATTCTACACTGGTTTGATTCTGTTTGAAACCGTTTGATCCGGTCTGATCCAGTTT